ATCTACCTCCAAGGATAATTCTCACCAAGTAAAAATAATTTCCTACAGAAAGTTGTCAAAATATACCCAAAAGTGTTATTTCCCTATATAAACTATAGTAAACTTTACCCCCTCCCCAAGGGAGAACGAATAGCTTGGGGGTCCTGAAATTTACAATTTAAGTAAAGCCCCTGATGATCTTTCTTTCCATGCAGAGAAAATGATTGTAGTACCTCTGAGTCTGGAGAAGAAGATTTTTGAAATATTGGTTAATTTTCCCTTTGGGGCCCCACCCTTGTCCCAGGGGTTGGGGTAGGAATTCCAATTTTACAATTTTGTAGCCTCATCTACCAAGGATGATTCTGACCCAGTTTGAAAAAAATCCATCCACTGGTTCTTGAGAAGAAGTTGAAAATGTAAAAAATTTACGCATGACGGACGACGAAGGACGGAAAGCAATTAGAATAGGTCACTTGAACAAAACTCAGGTGACCTAAAAAAACACCATCTTTTGCTTATTTCTGTATAGTAATTCAAATTTGTTGCTATGGTAGGGCATCTACACATGCACATTGGAAAAAATCTGCACCAAGAAAGAAAGCCCCTTTTACCGATGTGATGTTCAAGTTGAAATTTTCACTTTTTATGAGACCAAAAATGACCCATAATTGCCCAATTCCTTCGCATGTATTTTCATCCCAAGAATGCATTTGCAATCTTTGAATTTCAGTGTTCTATTGAAATACAATGCACAAGATATCCATACCGCTAAAAGATAAATGATAGATACACTTTTATACCAGAATTTTATTTTTCAGAGAAGGGCGTTTCAGAATTCCTCCAAACAAGATTTGAGAGACCCTTGCAACAGAATTCATATACATTTTAGATAAAAGAAACTATAGAAGTAGATAATTATTTTGTAGGAAAATACAAACAATATGCAGTTTAAGGTATTCTGGTTATATGTCATGAAGAAAGACGTTGAGCTCTACTTGAGTGTCTATAATTGTTAAAACTCAGCATCAAGTTGTAACAGAAAATTATTAAAATCCACAAAAAAACGCCATTTTCAACAACTATATTTACATTTTCAATATTTGTCTTCATGTACAAATCTTGTCTATTAGTTTTGCAACTGAACATTCATTACTGACTCTTATTTTACGTTAAGTAAATTAATATCTTTTCATACAGTGGATGGGTGGCTTTCTTTTCAGCATTGACTGTGTGAAAAAGCTCATTTTCTTTTTTCTTCGACAAGTTATCCATGAACATACTGCCTGTAAACTGCTGCTGTATAGCACCACTAACACTGTCTATGTTAACTCTGCTGTATAGCGACACTAACACTGTCTATGTTAACTCTGCTGTATAGCAACACTAACACTGTCTATGTTAACTCTGCTGTATAGCAACACTAACACTGTCTATGTTAACTCTGCTGTATAACAACACTAACACTGTCTATGTTAACTCTGCTGTATAACAACACTAACACTGTCTATGTTAACTCTGCTGTATAACAACACTAACACTGTCTATGTTAACTCTGCTGTATAACAACACTAACACTGTCTATGTTAACTCTGCTGTATAACAACACTAACACTGTCTATGTTAACTCTGCTGTATAACAACACTAACACTGTCTATGTTAACTCTGCTGTATAACAACACTAACACTGTCTATGTTAACTCTGCTGTATAACAACACTAACACTGTCTATGTTAACTCTGCTGTATAACAACACTAACACTGTCTATGTTAACTCTGCTGTATAACAACACTAACACTGTCTATGTTAACTCTGCTGTATAACAACACTAACACTGTCTATGTTAACTCTGCTGTATAACAACACTAACACTGTCTATGTTAACTCTGCTGTATAACAACACTAACACTGTCTATGTTAACTCTGCTGTATAACAACACTAACACTGTCTATGTTAACTCTGCTGTATAACAACACTAACACTGTCTATGTTAACTCTGCTGTATAACAACACTAACACTGTCTATGTTAACTCTGCTGTATAACAACACTAACACTGTCTATGTTAACTCTGCTGTATAACAACACTAACACTGTCTATGTTAACTCTGCTGTATAACAACACTAACACTGTCTATGTTAACTCTGCTGTATAACAACACTAACACTGTCTATGTTAACTCTGCTGTATAACAACACTAACACTGTCTATGTTAACTCTGCTGTATAACAACACTAACACTGTCTATGTTAACTCTGCTGTATAACAACACTAACACTGTCTATGTTAACTCTGCTGTATAACAACACTAACACTGTCTATGTTAACTCTGCTGTATAACAACACTAACACTGTCTATGTTAACTCTGCTGTATAACAACACTAACACTGTCTATGTTAACTCTGCTGTATAACAACACTAACACTGTCTATGTTAACTCTGCTGTATAACAACACTAACACTGTCTATGTTAACTCTGCTGTATAACAACACTAACACTGTCTATGTTAACTCTGCTGTATAACAACACTAACACTGTCTATGTTAACTCTGCTGTATAACAACACTAACACTGTCTATGTTAACTCTGCTGTATAACAACACTAACACTGTCTATGTTAACTCTGCTGTATAACAACACTAACACTGTCTATGTTAACTCTGCTGTATAACAACACTAACACTGTCTATGTTAACTCTGCTGTATAACAACACTAACACTGTCTATGTTAACTCTGCTGTATAACAACACTAACACTGTCTATGTTAACTCTGCTGTATAACAACACTAACACTGTCTATGTTAACTCTGCTGTATAACAACACTAACACTGTCTATGTTAACTCTGCTGTATAACAACACTAACACTGTCTATGTTAACTCTGCTGTATAACAACACTAACACTGTCTATGTTAACTCTGCTGTATAACAACACTAACACTGTCTATGTTAACTCTGCTGTATAACAACACTAACACTGTCTATGTTAACTCTGCTGTATAACAACACTAACACTGTCTATGTTAACTCTGCTGTATAACAACACTAACACTGTCTATGTTAACTCTGCTGTATAACAACACTAACACTGTCTATGTTAACTCTGCTGTATAACAACACTAACACTGTCTATGTTAACTCTGCTGTATAACAACACTAACACTGTCTATGTTAACTCTGCTGTATAACAACACTAACACTGTCTATGTTAACTCTGCTGTATAACAACACTAACACTGTCTATGTTAACTCTGCTGTATAACAACACTAACACTGTCTATGTTAACTCTGCTGTATAACAACACTAACACTGTCTATGTTAACTCTGCTGTATAACAACACTAACACTGTCTATGTTAACTCTGCTGTATAACAACACTAACACTGTCTATGTTAACTCTGCTGTATAACAACACTAACACTGTCTATGTTAACTCTGCTGTATAACAACACTAACACTGTCTATGTTAACTCTGCTGTATAACAACACTAACACTGTCTATGTTAACTCTGCTGTATAACAACACTAACACTGTCTATGTTAACTCTGCTGTATAACAACACTAACACTGTCTATGTTAACTCTGCTGTATAACAACACTAACACTGTCTATGTTAACTCTGCTGTTTAACAACACTAACACTGTCTATGTTAACTCTGCTGTATAACAACACTAACACTGTCTATGTTAACTCTGCTGTATTGCAACACTAACACTGTCTATGTTGACTCTGCTGTATAGCGACACTAACACTGTCTATGTTAACTCTGCTATATTGCAACACTAACACTGTCTATGTTTACTCTGCTGTATAACAACACTAACCCTGTCTATGTTAACTCTGCCGTATAACAACACTAACACTGACTATGTTAACTCTGCTGTAGAACAACACTAACACTGTCTACGTTAACTCTGCTGTATAACTACACTAACACTGTCTTTGTTAACTCTGCTGTATAAGAACACTAACACTGTCTATGTTCACTCTGCTGTATGACAACACTAACACTGTCTACGTTAACTCTGCTGTATAACTACACTAACACTGTCTATGTTGACTCTGCTGTATATCGACACTAACACTGTCTATGTTACCTCTGCTGTATAGCGACACTACCACTGTCTATGTTGACTCTGCTGTATAGCGACACCAACACTGTCTATGTTAACTCTGCTATATTGCAACACTAACACTGTCTATGCTAACTCTGCTGTATAACAACACGAACACTGTCTATGTTGACTCCGCTGTATAGCGACACTAACAATGTCTATGTTTACTCTGCTGTACAGCGACACTAACACTGTCTATGTTATCTCTGCTGTATAGCGACACTCACACTGTCTATGTTAACTCTGCTATATTGCAACACTAACACTGTCTATACAGCAGAGTCAACATAGACAGTGTTAGTGGTGTTATACAGCAGAGTTAACGTAGACAGTGTTAGTGTTGTCATACAGCAGAGTTAACATAGTCAGTGTTAGTGTTGTTATACGGCAGAGTTAACATAGACAGTGGTAGTGTCGCTATACAGCAGAGTTAACATTGACAGTGTTAGTGTTGTTATACAGCAGAGCTAACAAAGACAGTGTTAGTGTGGTTATACAGCAGAGTAAACATAGACAGTGTTAGTGGTGTTATACAGCAGAGTTAACGTAGACAGTGTTAGTGTTGTTCTACAGCAGAGTTAACATAGTCAGTGTTAGTGTTGTTATACGGCAGAGTTAACATAGACAGTGCTAGTGTCGCTATACAGCAGAGGTAACATAGACAGTGTTAGTGGTGTTATACAGCAGAGTTAACGTAGACAGTGTTAGTGTTGTCATACAGCAGAGTTAACATAGACGGTGTTAGTGTTGCTATACAGCAGAGTTAACACTGTCTATGTTAACGCTGCTGTATAACAACACTACCACTGTCTTTGTTAACTCTGCTGTATAACAACACTAACACTGTCTTTGTTAACTGGCTGTTTTACCTGGCTTCCTTTACTTTGGGGACTTCTTCTTGATCTGCATCTAAATCTTCATTGTCGTAGTAGGCACCATAGTCATCGTTGTCATCTGATCCACAACCTTCATCCTCATCATCGTCATCAGCCAAGGCTGTTGTCACCAACTTTTAACATGGCAGAAAGTATAGTGAAAAAATAAACCATTTTCTTCACAGAGTATTATAAGAAATTCAAACAAAGACATCGTGGTCATTACCCTGCCCACCAGGGTTTTCTGTTGTGAACTTTGGTTTTATATATAATAATATTTTTTTAATCACAAGCCAAAAGGACCAATGATGTTTGATGGTAAATTTGTTTGAGCTTCATAGATATTTACACATGTGATTTTAGGACGGGTACAACAAAAATATTGTTTGAAGTAAAGAACTTTTTCTGCCACAATTTTTTTTTATGTTGTCATAATTTTAAGGAATTTAAATGGAAATTTATGTAAAAAGGAGTGACTTTTGAAAAAAAAATGAAAGACAAAATATTTTGCAAAATAATGTCAATAAAAATGGTACTGCCATAGATTTGTATTGCATTAATGTATATCAATTTAATAAATGCACATAGTATTTGCAGGTAAGAGTTATCTGTCTTGAATAAATTCACAGTAGTGAAATAGGTAGCTGGTTTACTGAAGTACAGAAAAATGGACACATGTGGCTCATTGATAAAAAACCCTGAATTAATGCCTGCATTGCTTTGAAATACTTTAATATTGAGAGAAAACACTGTTCTGTCAATAATAAACACAATATTCATCAGTTTAATATTAAACATTAGAATATGCGGAAATTGTGATACTGTCTCCCTACATTGGATTTTCAACTAGGGATGTACTTCCTACTTCCGTTTATCAATACACTCTTATGACCTTAAGTCCCCTGGGCTTAACAGTACTATGGTATTTAATATTGCAGATGCTCTGTTTCAATTGAGCTAATTATCTCCAAACATGATCAAATATTACAACACTAAAGTAATTTAAGCCAAAATTAAAAATCAAAATAAGTAATAACTGACAAAATGGCTTTAACTAGAACTGTCAGGAGGCTTATAGCTAACTAACATTTCCACAGGAACTACATGGCATCAAAAAATAAAGAACTGGAACTGGTATCCTGGAGCTTCCTATATATTATCCCCCGCATGAGCCCCATATATCAGTAAAATTATAGTAAAGCAATGATTCAGAAGGAGTATTTTGGACATTATTTCTATGGACAGATGGAACAAATATAGATAATATTCTGGCTATAGTATTACCACTACCCTCCAATAGGTACGTAGTACAACTGCATAACAGGGGATATAGAAATCCTAACATTCTCTTTTCTTTACAAACATATCTACAAAATATACTCTCAAATTTGCCAATATTGGATTAAGTAAACTTATCTCTTCCCTCAAAATACTCTGTAAAGTAGGGTAATTACTCAGGTTTATAGCTAACTATATATTTTGGTACTCACTGGTTTAAGACACGTGTCGACTTTGTCTAGAACAACATGAACAGGTTTACATGACTCCGTGAATTCCTGTACATCGTTTAAGTAAGGCAGCACATTGTCATTGTTACTCCACACCATCTGACAAAAAAACAAAAGATTAAGTATATAGAGAGTACAAGACATAATACTCGCCAATTATCTTTGTTGCAATATTTGTATATCTTTATATACATGTATAATCAATACCCATGGCAGATCCAGAATTTCCAATTTAGCCTAATTAGACACTCTACCACCGAGCTAAAGGGAAATTCCCTCCATCTCAAAGCTAGATAGTGACAGTAATCCTATGAACAATGAACATCTGCACACTACTACATTTTAAATGGATTCACCCTCAATCCACAACTCAGATTCTAACTCCAGATCCCTGTTACCACAGGGAGGGCCACGGACACCATTTGTAACAGGAAAGAGAATAGTGTGCTTCCACTGGGGATAAAACCAGCCATCCCTAGGCTAGGTTCCTAGTCTGACACTCTACCCCTGAGCTAAAAGAAATTCTCTCTAGCTCAAAGCTTAAAGATGGCAACCGTAATTCTATGTACAATTAAAATCTGCCGCAAATTAAAATGATGTATTCAATTTCCTTTTCATGTGATTGTATGACACCAATCAGTCAATTTGGTGTAGGAGTTGGAAATATTTAATAACTGAATTAAGACAATTAAAACTATGGCATAGGTTTATTGTGGCATGCACCATACTGTTTTAATGACTTAGCAACAATTTTACAAAGCTTAACCAGCTGTCCAGGCTAAAAACTGAAGTTGCGTCACAGGCACCAGCCTCATATGTCAAATACATCTGGCTCATTAATAAGAAACCTCATAAAAGAGGCGTATGCCTACACTAACAGCCTATGAATACACAAATCAAAACTTCCTTATTTTTTTCTCTCTCCAAATAACAAGCTAAAACAAAAACTGCAGAAAAATATAATTTGCCCACTTTGAACTAATATATATATATATTGGCCTATTATAAAAAAAATGAAAAATAACACAAAACTTAATCTTAAAATCAATGGTTACCAACCAATTTTGTTTTATCTTCAGAAATGTCGCATATGGACAAGTGGAAGGTTATTTCTGTATCGGGTACATGGAATAAGACTTTTTTCTCTTCCTCGTCAGAAGATAAAACTTTGAATTTTGATCCGCTTTTTTCTGACCAAGCTTCTGATGATATAAGCAGTTGTGGGAACTCCATATTTTCCAGAAATCAAACAGATCGTCAAACGAAAACGTATTCTGTTAGTCGGGTGTCGCTATCGCCTTCCCTTTTCATGTCGTGTTGCAAGAAATCAACACAAGCAAGCAACGTCCCAAAAGTGTTTGAGATTTATATGGATTTTCACATTATGATGACAAGCGTCTATATGATATAGAATATGAAATAACCACTGGAACGCTGGAAAATACTAGGAATATGTGACAATATCTACACTCTGTTTCACTTTTACACAAGAAAGAAATGTCGAAAACATCTGAAGCAGATACATTAAAAAGTCAAATCAAATATCTTACAGGTTTGTGAGACGCATATGATGGCTTCTGGGTACTGTATGTATTGTAGTTGAAATTATTCTATCATCCTGAAACTGCGACTGAACGAAACAGGAAAGGGATGTGTCATCATACCATAATTGATGCAAATGGTTATCGTAGTGCAGAGGAACCGTATCTATGTATTGTTCTATGCATATTAATTATTAAAATAACATCAAATGTGAAAACTGACTAGACTATTAGCTGATCACTAGGGGTATTGAGTCATTGGGGGGNATGTCACCAGAGGAACTCAAAAGAGCATTCTAAATATGTAAACAGGAAACATTGTGATTAGTTCAGGGCTTTATATAATTTACGAAAGTTCAATTAATTGTATTTGTAATTTGACAGATCTTATCAACAATGCCAATAAAAGAAAACAAGGGACCACAACAAAGAAGACACTTCAAAAGGCATCAATAGAGGTTGTAGGTCATCAGCAGAGAACAGGGCCACATCACCATGTACATCACACAAAGACTGACCTGCAAAGATTATCAACAGGCCATGGCCAACAGCCACAGTGTCAGAAATACACTGTTGGACATCAAAAAGAGACACAAAAGTCTCTTAAACATGGCAAGTATGTTTGGATGAAAAACACTGCTAAGCCATCAGCTGGTGAAAAACAAGAAGAGATCGTTATTACTCCAGGACTAAATCAAGGGACTTGTTTTTCCACTGGGGTAGGGTCCTCTTCTAAATCATTATCTTCTTCATCATCAAAAGCATCAATCAGAGGAAATAACAGAAATGATTTGGCAGATTCATCAACAGTTAGTCGAAAATTGGTTTCTAAAGGAATAAGTGATGGTGTTTCTTTGCATTCTCAGACAGTAAAATCTGTTCTGTCAACAACAGCAGCATCAAAACAGATTTCTTGTATTCAGAACATCTCATCCAACATTGTATATGTACCAGCACCACATTCATCTTCATCATCAACAGCTGATGTGTCATCTTCTGGCTTGAAAAGTATAAGAAGCCAACTTGTTCATAAACTGAAGGGTACTGTGTCTTCGTCAGTAAAATCTGCATCAAATTTGCAATCAAATTCATCAACCAGTTCATCATCAGCTTCAAACAAAGAGGGAAAATCTTCACTGCAGTCATCAACACATACAAAGCGTTCAAGCAATGATATTCCTCCTCTGCTAAAATCACAACTGTCCAGTGACTCTAGTCAGAAAATTGTTTCACAAACACCTAGCTCTGTGTCCTCCACAAAGAAATCTTCTGGTGATAAAGATGTGATATTGTTTACAGTCCAGTCTAAGTCACCTGGTCCTGTTGAACAAAACATAAAGAGAGAATTTCCACAAACACAAGAAAAGTTGTCTGTGATTCCATCATTCCTTAAGAATCGTTTAAGCAGAAAAATGTCGAAAGAAGTTGGTAGTCTCTTGACTTCAACAAACACGGTACGTAAAGTAGATCCTGAAAGCAAGATGGAAAAATCTACTCCAAGTTTGCCTTCGTCTGAAAGTGAGCATCTTCAGTCTTCCAGAGTGCCTTCTTCAGGGGAATTTATTGTTCATTCAGAAAAAGAAACCATTTTACCTCAAAATAGATTCCTTGGTGCTAAGTCTTCAAGTCAGCTTTCGAAGGAATTTATTTCACAAGATACAATGTCTTCAGCTTTGTCTGCAGTTGAAACAACCTCTGTGTGCCAAGTGAGTCAACAGCTTAGTAAAACCGCTGTTTCACATTCACCAGGAACCTATGGTCCTGGTGTTGCAAGCACTTCACAATTGCTAGGTGCTGGAGGGATGAAACAGCCTGCTTCTTTGACAAAAAGCTCCACCATCTCAGCAGAAAGTATTAAGCTGCAGCCTAGTTCACTTGAGCAACTCTGTCCATCCAAAGAATCTACTGTATCTTCTGTATGTAAAACTTTTACTTCTAATCAATCTACTGCAGCAAATCCATCTAAACTTCCATGCACAAAAGGTGATCAGTCCAAATCAAGTATACCAAAGGCAAGTTCACCAGGGGCTAAAACAAGCATTTCTGTATTGTCCGAGATGAATGTAGGTCCATTCAAAGGTGAAAAAGCTCTTCTGTCAGGTTCCTCTGAGAGTTTTACAAATAAAGGATACAATGTGACTGCATCAGGGTCCCAAACTAAGTCACCTAAAACCGGTCTGCAAGCATCTGTCAGTTCACCAACTTCATCTCCTCAGAAATCTAGTCAACCATCTCAAATGAACAACACCTCCTCTCCAAGTAAAACATTTATTGTAGAAAAAACAGACTCTCGTAAAGATACAGTTCTGCAACTTAGTGAGAAACTAGCAAAAACACAGGCTGAGATTAAACGGATGACTCGCAATATTACAAACGGTCAGGTGACCATGAAGTCTATCGCTGCCATAAAGAAAGAAAAATCAGCGTCTGCAACTCAGTCTCATCAAACAAAAGTTAAATTATTACAAGGAGCAAAGAGTCATAAACCACAAAAAATGTATGGACAGGACTCTTCAAAGGGACCAAGATTTCCCATCAGGAAAGGACAAACTTTTCCATGCAGATTGAACAGTTCTAAATTTAATTCACAAATCAAAAGATCTTCAAAGTCACTTGTTGTTTTTGATAAAAAATATTCTCTAAATAAAAAAGTGACTGCACCATTCGAAAAGCCTGGTGAGAGTTTACCTCAGACTACGAGATCTGTTTTAACACCAAGTAAAACACAGGTGGTTGCTAAGGTGATCAAATCCAAGTACAAACTATGGAAAGTGACCTCTGGTGTGAAAACCCCACCGCCTCATTATGACAGTAAATCTCTGATCTTCCCCAAGAAGACTTTCCCCAGCAGTAGAGGGTACTCCTTTCCGTCAAACTACAACTACCATGCTCACTGGGGAAGAGGTCGGGGTTGGGGGAATCCATATGGATACAGTTCCTATCCATATTTGGGTCTGAGGAAGCACCAAACATACCCAGGGACAAAGGACAGACCTGGATACTACACAAGGCATGCTGTACCTAAGGGTAAGTGGATGTGGACACTAGGTCAGTATACAGGATTAACCCTTTCACCACTGTAGACCAAAATGGACTCATCCAGATCAATGCCTGGTAGAGTTTACTAAAGTTATTTAGGAGGTGAAAGGGTTTATAGAACCTATCACTCCTGTGTGATGTAGACTGAGAAATATCAACCAGACAGTAACACGTGCAGACTTTAGCTTTCAAAGACTTGTGCTAAACATAAAAAATATTCCCATCCGGTTCAAATTTCTCAGTCTTCATTACACAGCAGTGATTGTTTTCCGGCACTCTAGATCTCCTACTGTGAAAATAAGTTGTAATGGTAAACTCAATGCATGTGCCATCATCAGAAGCACATGAAATATGTGAAGAAATTTCCTGGTTATGCTACTAGGTTCAAAGACAGTTTTATCTAGATCTATTCTCACACAGAAATGAGAACGAGCATGTAAACTGTGGGAGAAACATGTATCCAGTACTTATAGTGTAAGTGTAAATGTTTATCAGCAATGTTCTTCAGAGAACATTATAAATATCAACAGTCACTCTCCATGTACGTCCAAGCTTTCTGTCTTCGCCCTTCGTCATTTCTGTTTTCAAATAAGGATGTGATCAATGACATGTACATGTAAGGTAGAGGACCATTCGATCCCTGATGGAGAACAGCCCGAATATTTATATAAGGGATAACCCTTAAAGGGTACTATGTACAGCTCATGGCTGTTATCACATATACTCAATAATATAGGTGTACCGGTATCCTGAACTGATGTAGTCCTAAGTAAGGTTTTATGTTTATATAAGTATATAAAGCAACAGAAATAACTACATAATGCAGTAGAGCAGCAACCTACATTTAAAATTCTGCGTATATACAAATAATAGCTATTGCAAAGTTCATCCATTTAGCTTTAATTTGTGCATGATATTCAGGAATGTTTATTAAATAAAGCGACAATAAACCTTGTATATTTCCATGAATATTAACTGTATTTTCTAGGCATGTATCCTGTGACTGGTAGCGGATCCTATCACCTGTTCACTCCACAAAAGTTCAAAAGGCCACAATTTCCAAGGTCAAAGGTTATCTTTGATAGGAAATATGTCTTGAAGAGACTGCAACATGACAGGAGCTCTCCCTCAAGGTTTGTTGACAGTGATGTTTACAGAACTTTAAAAATACCTCTCTGATATTGGTAATAATGATTTTTTTTCTCAAATTTATATACAGAGCTGTTTTGCATCTGTATCTGTTTCTATCATATTGTATTTAACAGTTTAGCTCAATGTTTAAATTAAATAGCATTGTATACAGTATTCCAATGTAATTCAAATATAAGTGTTGCAATATGCGGTTATCTTACTGATTGTGTGTTGATGCCCAAGTCTTATATTCAGGGCTGTTTTCCTTGTGTGGTGATCATGAAGGGAACTTTTTGGGGTGACATAGAGGAGCTTTTTGCAAGGTTACCTGGCATGGGGGTGCTTTTCTCAGTGATCCATATGGGAGCTTGTGGGGGTTTATAAACAAGGATGTTTAATCTGGGTTTACATAGGGTAGCTTGATTGGGAAACCTAAAGGAGTTTGTAGGGACAAAAAAGGAAACACCCTCCTAAGAACAGATTTAGATTATATTTACATCATAGTGTGGCTATATCAAGTTCTACACTAATGTTTTAGAGGTCAAAGGTTACACTTAGCAATAACTACTCTGTGGGGTTGAAGGGATGGTGTATGTCTTTGTGAGCCTCTGTCCACTTTGTTCTATTTTTGAACAAATTACAACCTTTGTTTTTGATAATTCCCATCCCCATTTGTATGTATGTTCTATCAATGTTAAATAATAATCTGGAAGACTTTTACCTACTACTTAGCTAAATGTAAGACAAGTTGTTGACTCCACTTTGTCATCAAGTATAAATAAAGATTATTATTACCTAAAAATATTTGTTTGCCAGTTTCAAACTTGACAAGAGGAGACCACCCCTATCAGTTCCACCTGGGGCCTGTGGAGTGTCATCAGTTTTGCAGAGTCGACTTACCTCTACTCTCCAGCCAACTAGAACACCTGGCAAATCAAGTTTTGTGGTCATCAATGGCATGCTGTATAAATCAAGTTCAAAAAGCCTGGTCAGAACGTCCCCAGTCAAGTCTGTAGCATCCAGCACGGCCGACAGTTTCAGGAACTCCAGTATTGTGGTTAAGAGTAGGTTTTCAGTTTGATTTTAGTCATGGAATAACTCAACTTCATTAGTTAAATCAGTTGTCTGTATAAAATCTGTATTCACTTTCTTTTAAATTTCAAGTAGCAATGGAACAGATTTGCTCTGAAACAAAATACTGTATCCTTGTTCTAGAGCAAAAACATGTTTACAAAACATCCATTACAGTAAAGTCAAACTTTACTGACATTAAGTGGGACTTGACTCATTCACCCCTGAAAACACATTTGAACTCTTCCAATTCAATGGTTAGAATAGTTCATTATGAAATTTCAGGGGTGAGTGAGTTAATGATTCTGGTCAGATATGACATGTGTTTGTTAATATGTCTTGAATGAGTTCAAGGTAACAGATTATTTTGGTCTGTAATTGATTAAAAGGTCACTATATAAACTGACTGCAATAATTTCATTCCAGAATCTAGGTTTGTATATGTAAGTAAATAATCAGGGTTTCAATTATTTTCCTTTTTATATAACTTTAATAACAATGTACATTTTTGTTATCATGTACAACATTATGTATAGCACCATTTTAAGGGTTCCCAAACCTTCATATGATCTAGCGTTGATGCAAAACTTGCTGTTAATAACTATGTATACAACTTGTGTATTTACCAGAGATGCAGTCAAAGAGTATGAAATTAGTAACAGTTCGTGGGGTACAGTTCCAGATGGATGCTGGTGGCAAAACTCTTAGAAGGGTTAATTCACCGTCCATTACACAAGGTATTTATGATAGTCATTTTTAGGACTCAGATATTCCATATTCATTCTTTCCCTGCTGGATTTTCCAACCTCTTAAGGACTGGCTCTATTTCTTAGAAATAGAATGCATCAAAATGTTTTAAAAGATGTTCAGGACCGAAAAAAATCTACAAAAGTCCTTGGTGTCACTGTGTGGATATTGTGTTAATACTTGTATCACATTTGAAAATTGCATCCTGATTTACCAGGGTTACCAATGAGAACCAATACACATCATGGTGTATATTGGTGTAATGTGGAAATGTTAGTGTGTTCTTTTGCTGGGTGCCGATCGTCAGTTGTGAGATGTGTAATTGGGGAGTAGATATAAACACCCAGCACACCAAAATTTTACCATTTTGATTTCTATTGGCTTTACTCTTTTTATGGTCTGAATACTAATCCAGAAAAATAAATAGTGTAACATATAATGTTTGAGCTGATAAGATGTGTGTAAGTATTTTAAGAAAAATATCACATTTGTGAAAATACTATTCAGAAAACTTGCATCGTCCGCACAGAGGTTTTCGTGCGATAACTTGAGTTTCCTTGGGCCGATCAAACTCAAACTTCATGCAGTGCTTCCTTACCAAAAGTGCTTGCTTGGGATTGCTTTTCAGGTCCGAAGGTCAAAGGTCAAGGTTACTATAAATAGAAAATCTGTTTTCGTGCGATAACTTGAGTTTCCTTGGGCTGATCAAACTCAAACTTCATGCAGTGCTTAGCAAAATCTCCCAGCTTCCTGCGCAGGCGACACATCCACTTCCGTGGAATTCTTGTTTTGTCACAATACACTGATATAATGATAATACTGTGCCCACTATATTTAATTTTCTTATTCTGTTGTGCAGCCCATATGGTATTTAAAGAATTAGATCACTGATAAAGACACACATGAATTGTCTGCCCCTGATAATTTTTATCCTGTAGTCAAAATTTGGCCGATGTATTTGTGATCTTAGTTTCCATATAAGTTACCATCTATGTCACAAAAGGTTTGTGTGAACTACAATTTACAGGTACACTTGTTAAAACAATTCTTTGTTCAGGAAATAATTTATCATTTACTTTGTATTTTGTCTTTGATATTAATAATGGTGTATAAATTAAGAATTATAAAGTTTTCTTTGATATCAGTGACATGCTTTAATTTGGAAATAACAAATAAATCTGTTGGTGACAGAATGAATATAAGTGTGTAATAGTAGTGTGTTAGTCTGCGGACGATAGTTGGAATGAATATTGGTAATACTGTTTTTTTTATATAAACAGGAGACTCTCGGCAGTCACAGACAACAGTGAAGCGCCTGGATATCGGGGGAGTAACATTTGTAAGGAACAGCCAGGGAGCCCTGGAGAGGGTTGGCTCTGCCAACACGCGGGTTGTCGCCAAGTATGTCTCCATAGTTACTTCGCTTAGCCTATACTTGTCATGTATTCAGGGTCACTTAGCGTATACTTTTATTTGCTTTTAAGGAAATCATATTTTACCTTCACTATATAAAAGAAAACCCAGGAGTTTAACAATTAACACTAATGAATGGGATTCTAACGTAAACCCCAACCTGAGTTATCAGCTGTCTTCAGATTTCAGACCAAGGTCTATATGACTGCACATTAACCTAGATATATAGATATTTCACAGTCGAAAAAAAATATTTGAATCAGAATAGGGATACGGACAACTCCCGTCTATTTTCAGGTTTGTGAAGTGAATGTAAAATGGTGGTTACACTGTCACAAATATCAATTTATAATAGTAAACCTGATATTTGCGATAACATAAACACCAATACCCCACACATCTCAAAAGTAGGGGGATCTCCTAATGTCTTTAATGTTTTTTCAGATAATTAACATCTAATGGTTGGAACACTTTTAAGAATTGGCAGATTCCTGTTTCAATTCTAACAGCATGAGTTTGTTTAACAAATACAAAATTATTAACCATTCCTAACATTTTCTTACCAGTCGTGTGATCCACAAAAGCATTGCGGCAGCGACGGCCCGTTACAGGAAGAGTAACACCCTAAACAAGCTTTCCAAGCAGTATTGCCTGTTCTTCAACAGGTTTGGCAAGTGCAAGAGGGGAGACAAGTGTCCCTACATCCATGACCCAGACAAAGTGGCAGTGTGTACAAGGTATGTTGGATTTGTAACTTTAAAACAAACAAAAAGCTTGATTAAATTTGAAATGTGTCTGTATCTCTCACAGGCTTGTCACGGCAGTAACTTTTACGCTGTTCAGTTGAAGAACATTTGTTTGGCAAAATTTTAAACATTCAGCCATATTTCTTGGTTATTCTGATAGGTCTACCATATATATCAGCTCGTTTTGCTTGCTGATTCAAGGTTTATGTTGATTTGTTGCCAGGTTTCTGCGAGGAACATGTCGGATGACTGGCTGTCCATTCTCACACAAAGTCGTCAAGGAGAAGATGCCCGTCTGCTCCTATTTCTTGCGTGGCGTTTGTAACCGAGACAACTGTCCCTACCTCCATGTCAAGGTCAACAAAAATGCATCTATCTGTCAAAACTTTGTGAAGGGGTTCTGTCCCTTAGGAGAAAAAGTAAGAACTGTTTCATTTGCACATCATAGTAATACTATAGACAATTTCATCTGTATGGTGAGTAGTACACAGTGACACTAGTATCATATTTCATACGTTGAGACAGTAGTGTCTGTATTTAGTACATTGAGACTAATATAATCTATTACCCTGTGTGGAGAAGACAAAGAAATCTCAACCTGAGGGTGAAATTTCTGTCAAGTATAAGATAATTTGTTTTCTAATATTAGTTATACTGATCGTGTTGTTATATATGTGAGTAATATATACTGAAACAATAGTATCTGCATTTTGTACATTGAGATTTTTTTATGTAAATCGAGTACATAGAGACAGTGCTTTTATGTTAAATACATTCAGACAGTGTCACATATGTAATTAGTACATGGACCTTTCTGTCAATGTAAGTAGTGACATATCCCGAGTGTTTAGTGTGAACTTTTCTAGGTGCTCTGCGACAATTTCATCTGTGTTTCAGTGTAAGAAGCAGCACACCCTGGAGTGTCCAGTCTTTGGTAGAACTGGGCAGTGCCCGGCTAGACGTACCTGTCCTCTGATCCACAAAACAAGAAAAGAAAAACCCAGAAGAAAGTAATAAAGCTAACATTAATGCTGATATTGAGGCAAAACTTGATACACATGTTTAGGCATGAATACAGTTTGATGCTGGTACACCATTGTTACAACTTTGTTTGTTCCTCAGTCCATTAGATAAGTACATGTTTTTATAGGCTGATTGCCTTCAAATTTCACATGTGAGTTGATCATCATTAAATGAGTTAATGAGAGGGATATTGGGTAGGCTCAGGGGAGGTTAATATTGACCTCTGTTTGGCCCATGATCATGACTTGTCAAGAACTTAATTTTGGGATCTTTCGATAATAAAATCAATTTCGTTTTCATAATTAGTTAATGTGATGATATTGGTATGTCATTTTCAGAAATCTCTTGTAAAACAGAAATCTAATTTTAAAACCATTTTCATTGAAATTCTTCCCATGTTCAGTATTACGACTCAAGTCTCTTTCTCTGCTACAGGCGATCAATGGCCACCACTGTAGGCGAACCGCAGAAGGAACTAGACGAGCCAACACTGAAGAGGACAGCAACAGACTCAGGAATTACAGAAATGGAGGACAACACCTCAGGTGTTCCATTTAAATTACAGAAACTTCCCACGTTTATCTCCCTTGGTAGTAGTACGGAAACACAAACACAAACACCAGCAGTAAAGGGTAAGTGTAATCAGTTGTGTGTTGTTTTATGTCAAATTGTATAGATATAAACACCAGCAGTAAAGGGTAAGTGTTATCAGTTGTGTGTTGTTTGACGTCAAATTTTATAGATATAAACACCAGCAGTAAAGGGTAAGTGCTATCAGTTGTGTGTTGTTTGACGTCAAATTGTATAGATATAAACACCAGCAGTAAAGGGTAAGTGTTATCAGTTGTGTGTTGTTTGACGTCAAATTTTATAGATATAAACACCAGCAGTAAAGGGTAAGTGTTATCAGTTGTGTGTTGTTTGACGTCAAATTGTACAGATATGAACACCAGCAGTAAAGGGTAAGTGTTATCAGTTATGTGTTGTTTGACGTCAAATTGTACAGATATAAATATTGAACTGCTCTCATGTTTATAGGCAATATGAATGACAACTGCCTTACCCAGAAATTATATCATTAGCCATTCAGATGACCTATAAGTGAGAAAACAGTGTAATACCTGAATATATTGACCTGCTATAATTTAGAAATGTATATGTATATAGTATCATTGACTGAGACTTCTAGCAGATTCAGATCTATTGACTTCTCTTACTCCACAAGTGACTGTAATGATTCCTCAAGCAATGTATTCCATTAAAGATCAGTGAGAAAACATTTCCTTTACCCTAAACTAAGATAAGACAGATAAATGCCACAAAGTCTTTCACAGTTGTCACATGTGAGAAAACATTTATTTCATCCTAGACTAGGATGAGACAGATAAATATCACAAGGTTTTTCACAGGTGTGAGAAAACATTTATGTCTACCTAGGCTAGAATGAGACAGATACATATCACAAAGTTTGTCACAGGTGTGAGAAAACATTTATGTCGACCTAGGCTAGGATGAGATAGATAAATAACATAAAGTCTTTCACAGTTGTTACATGTGAGAAAACATTTCTTTTATCCTAGACTAGGATGAGACAGATAAATATCACAAAGTCTGTCACAGGTGTGAAAAAATATTACAGCACCCGCTCGTCTCACCTAAGGCTAGGATAAGACAGAGAAATGTCACATGATCCATAACAGGTGAGAAAACTCCATCTATTAGTCATACATCTGTATGCCGTCCATCCCTGTTGGACATTATAGTAGAATTTCGTGATGAATGTTGCTTAACTTTATAAATTAATGACTGATATTTGTAACACGTTTCAGCCATTCGCATCAAGCCTAAGTTATAAAGCAGCAGTGAAAAGGTAAATATGTTGGTTATTTATTTTATGGATGGTAATTTCATGATAATTAAATGTGTAAATGTAATATTGATGTGACAATGTAATATTAATGTGACAATGTAATGACAATGTAATATTAATGTGACAATATAATACTTGAAGAAAATATGGAAAGAAGTGATTTACAAAATAATGAAATTTTCAAAATTTTTCTTCGATTCAATTCTTTACAAAATGCGAGCAAGTCAGAGTAATTTAAAATGCTATATTGTTAAGCTGGGTAAAGATATTTGCTATATTGTCAGTCATTAATGCTGTAACACTAGAACTAATTCCATATTGTACTATCCATTTTGTCTATTTTACACAGGTAGCAGGTATATCAGGGGACTAAATGTGCTGTACTATTAAGTTTGTCTTTCTTTCACAGGTAACAGGTTCACCAGGAATAGTGATGGTTAGTCTATCAATTTATTTAATTATGCTTGATATTGCTATCACCTGTTGCCTGAGTGGAGTAAAGAATTTTCTTGTTTTTAAATTTATGTTTATTATGCCCTAATTATATGTCATTAACATTATTGAAATTCTTAACAACTTAATTTAACTCGGATAAAAACTGGTGAAAGATTTCAGTTAAAGTGTCGTTGGAGTAAAAGATCTCAGATGTTTTTGACATTTGCTGGCCTGAAATCAGACTAGATAGTTCTACAATGATATTTTTGATGACAAATGTCTGAAATATGAAATATCATAATTTTAATATTTGAAAAAAATTGATTAAACATCGATGTGAGCTTGCACCTTTTTGATGATCTGAAGTTGTGCAATGGTTTTATGAGTGTGATCTATGTGTATTTTCTTAATAAAGAAATAAAATATAAAAGATAGTATTTTTGACTTTGTTTTGACTGCTAGTTTCTAATTTGAAGAACTTTTGCAAAGTGTCTAACAGGGAAACACGCTGAACCAAACATGTCTGGAATGTACATGGAAAATATTTTGCTGACCCTTGACTTAAAGAAGCCCCATTCAGTGTTCTCTGTAAAGGAGAAAACATGAGACATTTCAGACTTTTTCAAAAACATATGTGATGGATCAATTTCTCCGTATTAATAACTATATAAATATCAGTACTATTTGAATGTCAGACACAGAAATTAAGAAATGCTTTTGTGAACTGTTACACCGTCCTTATAACTGTTTTATGTATGCAAAATCTATTTCTGTAAATGTACATCGTTTTAGCATTAATCTTATTTTAACAATATTCTTATTTTAGCACTTTCTGTGCTCAAATTATCATGCTAAATAATGAATGTGCTTTTAGAAGTTCTGGTATAGTTTTCTCTATTGCATATTTTTGGGTACGCCAATTTCCCAGTGTGTTAATATGTTAAAATTCTATTAAAATTTTAGTGCACTGAAATAAGTATGTTTACAGTCTTTCACAGACTTGTCATATTACCATACCGCAAAGTGACCATTTTAGCCTCTTCAGCAAAAATTGTTAGGGTTATGAAACACTAGGGCTGTCACAATATATATCGGAAAACCGGTATATCGCAATACATAGGTATTTCGTATAGTACCACAATACAGAGATGAAATATTGCTGTATCGCAATATTTGTTTAAAGCTTATTTTTAGGTCACCTGAGCTTTAGCTCAAGTGACCTATTGCTATCCGTCTTCGTCCGTCGTTGTCCGTCGTCCATCGTCCGTCGTCCGTTAACATTTTACATTTTCAACTTAAGCTGAAATACTGGCAAAGGGATTTCATTAATAGTTCATGGGAAGGTTACTGACATCTCCCTGACCAAGTGTTGTTATTTTTCGGGTCGATCAGAAATCCAATATGGCCGCCACGGCCGCCATTTTGAAAAACTATTTCAAACTTAAAGTCAAGTTCTGATGGGCCAATTGAACTCAAAACTTTGTACGAATGATCGACTTATGGTGCTGACGAAGTGTTGTTATTTTTCGGGTCGATCAGAAATCCAATATGGCCGACACGGCCGCTATTTTGAAAAACTATTTCAAACTTAAAGTCAAGTTATACTGGGCCGATTGAACTGAAAGTTGGTAGGAATGATCGACTCATGGTCCTGACAAAGTGTTGTTATTTTCCGGGTCGATCAGAAATCCAATATGGCCGACATGGCCGCCATTTTTAAAAACTATTTCAAACTTAAAGTCAAGTTTTGCTGGGCCGATTTAACTGAAACTTTGTAGGAATGATCGACTCATGGTCATGACAAACTTAAGTTAACGTTATACTTAACTATTTTGTACTCAAATTGGTACATATTTCAACAACAAAAATAAATACTGTAGGACTCAGGTGACCGTTTAGGCCCATGGGCCTCTTGTTATGTATTTCATTCTGCTTGGTAATTTAACTTTGCAAATTACTACAAATTCTAACAGATATGCCATTACGCATAAAACAGGCTTTTAATAGTGGTGGGAATTAGTTCAAATTTTATAATCGATGGTTGGTTTGACAAAAATCTTAAATCTATGTGATCCATATTATATATGATTAAGTTTGATAACATTCTGGCAACAACCTATCATAAAATCAAGCACATCTTTCCTTTGACAATATATCGGGATACGTATCACAATCTATTCATTTTCTGTATTGCAATATATTGTGATACACTCTTGGCGTATTGTGACACCCCTATGAAACACATGTTAGGACTTAAGTATTATACATTAATGAGCTATGCAATAAAATCAGCATTGCCCAGTTCAAAAACACATACACGGAAACTTGTTTTGATAATATGGTGGTGCCTGAAAACATTGAGAAGAAGGGTAACTTTTTAATGTTATAAGACTTGAATTCTTCACCTGCAGTACTATTGACACTGTGCCACAAGTCTACCATTATCTTCACTTGAATTGATCTATCAGTATATATACATGTATATCTAATTTTAATAGGTGACATGGGGAGGAGCTTCAGGAACATAACGATGCACACTTTTTATACGATCCTCTTTGTGCTCATATTTGTTCCAATAATAATTATAAAAGTTGGTTATTTTCAAACTTCGGACATATCAACCAGGTACTGATTTGTATAACCAGAAAAATATAAGATCTGATTTTAAAGAAAGTGAAAATTTAATTCAATCTTGATTTATAAACAGGTGTCGCCTAAATATTTTGAGATGAGTGAGTAATGTGTAGTTTAGCCTATTTCGTGAGGTTTTATTTGGTTGTGTCATAAAAAATATTATTTTGATGGAAATTCATACAAAAAATGAAAGACAAAATAATCAGTTCGGTTCTTTATTCTAAGTTTGTAAATACAATTGGTGATTATAGGAAATATTTAAGCATTATTACTTTCCAAAGAAGTCAGTTTAATACTTATATTTCCAACCTGTTATCGCATTTCAAAGTCAAATTCCGCGCTGTCTGTCATTGGGACTTGTTATTGTGACGTCACGAGTACATGCGACCGTTCCCGGCAAAAATATAGTTCGTGGAAATAAACACAAAATCCTCAATTTAATTCAACAATTTAATCAATATATTCCACCGTGAGGATATTCACCTTTTGTACAACATAACTACATAAATTGTTGTGAGTTACATTGATCATCGGTCAAAACGACGTCATTTAGTCACGACGTCACGAACATGTTCTTCATATCACTACACCAATGGGAATTATGTGAGAATTCTGATCTGATATCTTCGTATTTTGTTTGGAAAGGTTATATAGTGGCAATGCAGAGCAAATGGAAATATAAGAAATTACATTGCCATACAAAGGAATATATAATGTAAGCAGCATTATAGTTTTCATATTAGATAGAGGCTCCTGTCAAGGGGAACTTGGAGGATAATCCAAATCTTCTGCCTTTTCCAGGACATACAATCTGATTCCCAAATTGAAATTTCCCTGTATCGGCTACACCAGAAGAAAAGATGGTATAAGTAACGAAGAAAAAGTACATACAATCATAATTTAACCAAAAATACACGAAAAAAGTCTCAACACTCATCTGTTCCAAAGCAATAACTGTAAATTTAGATAGTGCTCATAATATTAACACAGTGCAAGCATTAAATCACCAAAAAAGGCCCGTTTGCCTTATGGCTCACCTGGAATTTCGATTTCAAATTGAAACCTGTGCTATTGTACACTTATATCAAAAGTGTAAATCTCCAGTATATCAAGACTTTACCCTGTAAGAGAAACTAAGTAAAGGTCATTTATATTTGGGGTCCATCCAAGAATGCATAGAGCTAAATACAATGACCGAGTCCTTCTGATCTACAGAAGATTTTTGAAGTTTTGACACAATAAACACATGTGACACTGAAAGTATGTCAAGGGGATATTTTTTATTTACAAAGCTACTACTTAATATCATGACCCTACAACTTTTGATTCTGTACAGGGCAGCTTTTAAACCTGAGCTTAACAGAAATTCTTTCTGGCCGAGGCGGTAGGAAGCAGCTAATATTTTACCAGGGTGACATATATAACAAAGCTTGTATGAAATAACTTTTCCTTTCTCTTATAGTTCTGTACACAGTTTTCAACACATTCTGACGAAGTTGTTTACACTTGTTCGAAGGATTTGGCAAATCGAGAAGTCTTTGTTTTATCTCGACTGCCTTTCTATTCATATCAATATCATATTGTACTGCTGCCCATAAAATATTACACGGTGTCTGAATAGCAATACATCTCAACTCTCCTTTAATGTCAAACAGGTGTTTGATGTACTGTCCAGTTCCGCTTATCATGTAAACTGTCTGTGTTCTACTCTCACTAATAACGATGTTTCCGAACGAGTCGTATGCTATCGACACAACTGAATTCCAGCCAGCTCCTGACATATTGTAGTAAAACAGAACATTCAGAGTTCTATCATACACGGCTATGTCCGACATCCACGGGTTCATCACATGAACTCGGACAACCGCTAAATTACCTGTAATAGGACACTCAATTATTTGTCCTGGGACCGCGTGCAAGGAAACATCGTCGGCTGTATGAAGAACAGTTCCTTCCTTTGTGTATATTTCTAAAAGTACCCACGAACTTATAACCAATTGACCATGCTTGGTAACATGTAAACAATTTGCTATCATTTCAAACCACGAATATTGCAAAAATGATGGCGGAGCGATCTCGTAGATGGCAATGTCGTATTCTAAAATCACCCACAAACTTTTCGTCTTGAGGGATAAACTAAGGTCTTTGATATTACTATGGTGTTGAATAATTCTCTTCGTGGTACCGTTATGTAAAAGCTGTGTCATGTTTGATTTTTTGTCGAGAAACCATACGCTCCCATCAGGCGTCGGAACCAATGTCGACATTTTTGTGCAATTAATTTCTAGATACAATGGTATAAGAAGGTAAGCCATAATTACTAGCAAAACTAGTAGTAGTACTAAAGTACATTTGACAATCACCTTTAATAAGGAACTGAGTTTCTTCAATGTTCGGGTCACGACTCCTAAACAAAGTCTGCATATTGTTCTTAAAACTTGTTTCTTTTGCTGCGAGTTGTCGGTTCCTGGTTTATACTTAAGTGTGTAGGGTCCTCTTTTTAAACATTCTACGTCTTTAACTTTATCAAAGACAAGCACAGAGGTCCCAGATTGGAGAATTTGTTTACATTCTTTTGTCATCAAAACCAAATGTTCATACCTTTTTTGTAAATCATTCTTGTACGCCTGACAGCTTAATTCTTTTTCTAGTTCAGGAAGTGTATTTTCTTCAGTATCATTGACGAAATCAATAAGCTTGCCTCTTTGCCGTAAGTTTACGTCTTCTATTTCCTCCATCATGTGATTCCTGTGTCCAGACACAGAACACGTTGTACAGACGAGCTCGTTACAATC